GTCATCATGATCTGTTCAAACCGTCGTGCGATGTTGTTTGCAAATTTTGCTCTCATGTCCATTTGATTCTCTGGTTAGTTCTGCTACCAGATCTTCATATGGTACTCCATTTCTTACAGCGAAGCTTGCCAATAAGAAGGCGGTGATCTGTTTAGAGCTCTACTTCTCTCTTAATGGGGACATCCATTAAGGAGTGTTGTAAGTCAGACGATGCAATTATCAACTTGCATTGTGACGAACAGTGATCAGTGAGGCGGCTGTTAGACACATCAATTTTCGAACTTTCTTCAGTCCTTTGACCCGTTTCGTGTTAAAGAGTTTCTTCATTGATTCCATTGCCATTGAATAAAGTTTAACTTCTGAGTATGCCTAATTGGTTAAGTCGTTATGTTCTCAAATGACAAACAACCATTCTTGATGAATCTTAGCACCGTCTAGCACTATTTTCTTGCGCAGAGTTGAAACTGACTAATGCTAAGATGATAACAATGAGAATTCCAATGACATATTCTAAATAGAATTAAAGCGGGTGGAACTGATGTGCATAAGGTGAAAGCAATCACATATGTTGAGTTCGTTCTGAATGAAAATAGTGACCTCAACACAGAAGTTTTCTCAAATTTTAGAACAGAAGGTTCTTGTATGCTAAAACTGACGAGACTACGGAGAAGTCATGCTATCCCGTACTTCCAACACTGACCAGACACTTCACAACGTACAGAGCTTAAAATTATTCTTGTCCCGAGATTCACAGAAGAGCGTAGGAGGAGACATGATACAGTCAACCGTCGGTATAAAAGAAGGCCTTTCGATTGCTATTAGTCAGATTATATGTTAATGGATATACTGACCAAAAACCACGATCATTTTTGCTATGGATTTAATTTTAAGCATATGCTCAACCGTTAAACTCCGCTCGTTGGCCACCGCTGTTTGCTTCCTCTTGAAGCACTCTTTAAGTCCTCGCCCAGTCGCTGTTCAATGAAATCAATACTTCGCTTGCCGAAACGTTAAAAACGGATTCTAGACGGATTGGTGGATAATTTCAGGTTTGAAACACAGCGCCGATGTTTTAATATTTTCAGCTTGATCGACTACGCAAATTTTCGACGGGGAGAATAAACCGTGATTAAGCAACTTTGGCATTTTCGGATTTACAAAATGGGCAAACGTCAGAATCAGAGAAAGAGAAAACACTTCAAATTACCTTCCGGAAGTTGAGCAAGTTCCAAAGATGGACAACGGAGGCTTAGCGATAAACCATTGTAAAGTTGGTTTTTCTCGTATACAGACCTGCCATTCGTAAGATCGTTATCTTTGGTCAATTTTCATGGAGTTGTCAAAAAAACTGTTCATTTCTGATATTGATTTAATGAGAAGAAACAGAAATTTGATGCTCAGACTTCCTATGTTTCTATCAAAATCTGAACAAGCGAAAATTGATGTTTGCAAGTGACCGATGGCCGCTGATTTTGTGAAGAAAGAAGGCGAAAGGAGTGAAAACTGTTGGCATTGAAACTAATCGTAAAATTGCAAAGAAAACGACCACTGTTTTTTCCGAATATCACAATTTCATACACTACGAATTGAAACAGTTCTTCAAGTACACGCAGACTTCGCCTTCCGTAAATTCTGACTTATGCAAATTGTCCTAGAGGGGCTGTGGAATTTTTTAAGTTTTCAAAAAGCACTTAGAATCCTCATTTTCATCCTCTAGAACAAGATCCTACCGAAGGACATAAAACTTGCCTTCGAAACGTACAAACAATTATAATTTACTTTTTGGACGTTATGATCAAACGGAAAGAAAGCCCTCCTAAGACAAATTCTACAACATAACGACGTACACCAATCTCTCCATATCTCCCTTCGGGTTATATTCAATCACTGTTATTAAATGAATCAAGACACACTTTTGAACAGGTGCAAAAGATTGAGCAAGCATTGACATAACACTCGTAGGAATTGCA